TACCAAAGGGGCAAGTGTAGGTGGTCTTCGCCTGATCCTTCGGTGCGATTGGAATCTGGAAGTACCCGGACATGTCGTCCAGGAAGCAGTAGAACTCATGTCCCACCAACCTCTCCAACATTTGGTCAATGAAAGGAAGTGGGAAAGTATCCTTCATGGTGGCGTCGTTCAAGCGCCGGTAGTCGATGCAGACACGCTAGTCGGTCATCATCCACATCAGGATTAGCCCGTTCTTCTCGTTTGGGATCACAGTCATCCCGCCTTTCTTTGGGACCACCTAAATGGGGCTGACCCACTTGCTATCAGAAACAGCAAAGATGATCTCGAAATCTATAAGCTTCACAATCTATGCCCAGACCACTGCCTCCAAGTTAGGAGTCAATCTCCACTACGACTTCCTGACAGGCTTAACCTCATCCTCCATCAGAAGTCTGTGGGAGCAGAAGGATGGGAAATGCCTTTGATGTCAGTGATCTTCCACGCCATGGCCCAGGCGTACTTCTTCAACAGAGCTACCAGACTGGCCTTTTGCTTGGGGGTCAGTTCCAAGCTGATAGTGACTAGGAGCTTGTTCCCTCCCGGAGAAATGCATACTCTAGGTGATAGGGGAGGGGCTTAAGCTCCAGCTCTGGTGGCTCCTCCAAGGATGTGGCGATCTAGTGCGAGATAGAGATTAGCTTGAATGACAGCTCTCGCCACTTGATCGCGATTCTCTCTAGCTCCGCGAGTTACTCCTCCACCTGCGGTTCCTGTGATGCCTGTTCCATTAGCAAAAGACAGCGCTCGTGGAAGTCATTGGTACCCGCATTCGTGATGGCGAGTGCAGTTTCAAAATCAACAATCACATCACAGTAATCTAAATCATCATGGAGCTGAGGGTGTTTCATATTATCATAAACAAAAAAGGTGATTTGTTCATCCCCAGCCCTCAAAACCAGTTTACCATCATTCACATCAATAAACTCCTTGGCGGTGGTGAGAAAAGGTCTACCCTGAGATGTAGTAGATTCCCTTATTGCCTAGCAGTATTCTACAGTGTGTTGGGAGCTCTCGCACCACTCACAATACATAGCCTGCTGCTGCCCTATCCCAAGAACCATCCCATTGCAATCAATAGCCGTAACAAGCTTATTGACGACTTGCACCAACTCAGATGACTAGGTGTCCAGAGCATGAACACCTCATCGAGATCTTCTTGCAGACCCCCAATCATAACCCTGCTCTGTCATTTCTTCAAAGACCTGGTTCAGTTGCGGTGGCGTCTTGGTAAGCATGTTCCCACGACAGACAACGTCAATCAGCTGCTTGTCTTCAAGAAAGAGAGCTCGATAGAAGGTTCCCACCTTGAAGGCGTCATTGAAACCATGGTTGGGACACTTCAGGAAGAGACTAGTGTATCTCTCCCAAGCGTCCTAGATAGTCTCTTCCTCCTCCTGGGAAAAATGGGTGATCTCCTTCTGAAGGTCTGCTGTTTTAGAAGGAGGATGGTAGCAGGTCAGGAATTTGTTGGCCAAGTCGGTGAATGTGGTGATTGACCCCGGAGGTCGGTTTTCCAGCCACAACTTGGCTTGTCCCTCCAGAGTAAATGGGAAGTAGTGGAGCATGATGACATCTTGAGGAACCCCATTGATATTGATTCCATCAATAAGCTCATGGAACCGCCGCAGATGCACGTGGGGGCACTCGTCTATCTTCCCATAGAACTTCACTGAACCCTTCAGCATTGTGATAACAAAGGTCTTCACGTCAAAGTTCTTGGCAGCAACTTGAAGGTGCTAGATGCTCGACCTCATGTCCTCGGCCTTGGTGGTCCAGTATTGTCTCATAGTCCTCTCCTCGGCCGGATCTTCCATATCCCCATCTCCATTATTGGCATCCCTGATTTCTTCTTCCTATGCGATGTTCAGTTGAGCCAAAACTTCCTCGGAAGCCAGTCGCGCCTTTAAAGCTCTCTTAAATTATGACAGGTTCTTTCAAGCTCTTGGTCCAATGGCAGTAGATCTCCCTAATGGCTACGAGTCATGCACTACATGCACACATATTGCAAACACAACCTGTGAAGGCACACAGGTGGAAGAGAGAGAATGCAGAAAAATAAATGCTAAAGTAACAGATCTTCACGTTTCTATAATAACCTAGAAGTCCCCAACAACGACGACAAAAACTTGACTCTCACCAAACACGACCAATTGTAATCGTAGTATGGCAATGCAGTATAGTGGGACAAGTAATAAATGTCAACCTGGGGCCTAGATGTACTACTGTCTACTCCATGAAATTCTATTATCTAGCAATAGAAGTGTAGTGAATTGTTCAAATGCAAATTAAACGAAAAGCAGTAAATGTTCTGGTTTTCAAGTTCAAGAAGGAACCACTCAGGTAATGATTCCCCCTAGTTTGCAGTTAATTCGAGTTGTAATTCACCCAGTCCAATTCAATTCAAATTTATACTACGAAGAAGATACGAACCTAGCTTGGAATCTCTTAAGCTGGCCAAGCCCTCTCAGACACATTACCCAGCAGACGACTAACCTTCACCAAGATAAAGTGCTAAGGCAATAAAAAACAGATCTCCTCTACTAGAATGAATCCCAGTACAGAACAATGAATTGATTCACCTCTTCCAAATCAAGATGCTCTATTGACCTATTCAAATTCTATCATTCTAGGTCAAAGCTGGAAACGTACTAGTGTGAGCAAGACTCATAGATTTCTGAATAAAACCTCAATTGGATATATAATCATCAATGCATTGAAAAAGGTTTCATACAACTGCTCCTAACATGCAAAACTAGGGTTCTTCATACCCAAGTGGTAGAGGGGATTACTCCATAGAGAGAGAGAGAGAGAGAGAGAGAGGAAAGTTATGTTGGATGTAGAAATCATCGTGTAGATGGAGGAAATTTGCTGCGAGTCATCAATCGTCACTCCTTGAGGCTTGAATCGAGCACCAATGATGGGAAAACTTGATCTAGGGCACTCAAGGGTCTTTGTTCGTCACCTTCTCTCTCTCAACCTCTGTTTTCTACTCCAAAAATCGATTGAGAGACCAAGACCCGCGTTCTTCTTGTAACAGCCCGAGTTGGGCATACCCGGTCAGGTATTACTGAATCATACCGGGTATTAGTTAAAACAGTGCGCATCGCCGTCTCTACGTACGGGAGAATACCTGACCTCTGGGTGAAATACCCAATCGGGTATTTTTGGTTCACGACTAGGGCCCTACTGGGTTCGCCTTGGGAAATACCCGGGTTCGTCTGAATATACCCGGTCGGGTATTTGGGTGACCTGACCGGGTATTTGGCCTTCGAGCTCCACTTTTTGCCATCTCTCCGCTTTTGACCCGAAACTCATTTCCAAGCTTCCATTTCTACTCCAGGTCCTGAAATACGATATAAAAGCACAACATAGCGTGAAATTGGCTTAAAACACGTGAACCGACTCTCAAACGGTGCAAATATAGTGGGCAAAACATGTGCAAATATCAGGTTATCAATTATCTAGTAATCGATTTTTGGTCAGAACTATGAACTAAAATTGAAAGCAATTGGGAATGTAAATGGGTTTGAACACTAATTGAGAAGGCTTCACCCGGATGTTGCTACCCCTAGCTAGTAATCACGATTTGTCGGACGAAATACAAGTGTGTGGTAAACGCGGTTGTAAACCGTAGGGAAACGCAACAAGTGAACAAGCTTCACTCTCTCGGTCACTAGGCCAAGGGATTTCGAATCAAGCTACCAAGGTAGCTCTCTTGGCCAATCGACTAAGGGTTGTTTGGGATTCTACCTCGAACCATAGTCCGAACGACCAAAATACAATATATCCAAGGTCCTAATACGTAGTATGAGGTTTTCTGTAATTCAACCTAAGTAGGTGACACAATTTGGCCAAGGAATTCCAGCTCTTACAAGCCTCTTAGCAATAAGGGGATTTCCCTCTACCTAGGTCAAATTGGCATAAGAGTTGGAAATGCAGAAACACAACACATCCTTCATAAAAATACCTCAATACTTGTGTTAAAACAAAACTACACACAAATCATTCAAATCATACACGCATTCACATAATTCTAGCTAAGGTTTACAAACACCCAAGTGAAAGAAAGGACTACTCCATGCTAAGAAGTGGGATTACACAAAGCATAAGAGAAAATACCATCATTCATGAGAAGGTTGCCTTCTTCCTTTGGTATGGAGATCAATCTTTGAGGATGAGAATCCCAAATCTTGGAGTTTGGATCAAACCCTAACCTTCTTCTCTTCTCTTGCTCGCCACTTTGTCTCTCTAGAAATCCGAAGAAAAAGAAGTCTCACTCTCGGTTCTCCCCTTTATCTTTCAGCTCAGCCCTCCTTTTATACCTAGATCGACGGCTTTTCACGGTTGTAGTTCACGACCGTGAACTATAAGCCTGGACTGTGATGTTCTGCAAAAGACTGTGAATGGGAATATTTTACTGTTGTTGGCTGCATCCTTCGAAAAAGCTCTTCTTTTTTGGTTGTTGGCTATACTTTCTTGTCTTTTACTGTGTCTGTTTGTTTCAAAGCACAATAACAAATTGTTTTTTACTTGACATGCAGATGATACCAACGGGGGAAGAAGGGGCCAAACACGGGGAAAGGTTGCAGTATACTGGCGGGAAGCGACCGCGGTTACAGTGGCGAACTCCTCCCACTTTGTCGTCGCTACTTTGTCCTTGGCCGTTAGCCAGTCCTAGGTTTTAGAAGGAAGATTTCATTTGATAAAGGGTGAAAACCGAAAAGGGGTCAAAAAATTAAGAAAATAAAAAGTTAATTGATATCCGACGTGGAATCTTCGTGACGACTGACGTGGCCAACTCCGTTACGAAAATCATCTCATTAACGGGGATTTAGCCATTAGTTTACATGAAACAATAATTGTGGCTAATAATTTGTACTACAATAGATGTGACTATAATTCCCTCATTCATAATAATTCCCGTATTTACCCAAATAAAAATTCGAAATAGCCAAAACGGCCCCTCACGAATAAACACACGCACACACTCTTTCTCTGTCCTTTTTCCCCCAAGAACCAAACATAATTTTCTCTGGAGCGAGGGCAAGAAAAGGATTAGGAGAGTGGGAGGGAGAGAAAAACGAGCCATATCCACCACGTAAGAGTTCTGCAGTCGTCAGGGATCAAACTCTTGTTCTTTTTTGTTTTCTTACTATTTTTCTGCGAATTCAAAGGAGGCCGAGAGAGAAAGAGAAGGCGATCCGATCGCTCTCTCTCTATAAAAAGCAAAAATCACACATATATGGGAACGCTTCAAACATGGAGGAAGGCCTATGGCGCTATCAAAGACTCCACCAAAGTCGGCCTCGCTCATGTCAATAGCGATTACGCGGTAACCAATCATGGAGGATTTGCTCGCTAGATTCTCCCTTCCGCTCTTTCTTTCACCTGCATTTCTCCGAATTCCTATTTGCTGATTCTTCGCTCTCGTTCTTTGTGTTTGTGAATCAGGAACTGGATGTAGCAATTGTTAAGGCGACGAATCATGTCGAGTGCCCACCCAAAGAGAGACATGTCAGGAGTGAGTGATTCGTTCCTAATTTTCCATTTGGGATTCGTGGTTGTTCTGTGGTGGGGAAGATCCGATGTTGAAGTGTACAATTGTGAATTTGAGAGATTAATGGAGAATTGGGATTGCTTCCCGCAGAAATATTGTTTGCTACTCAAGCCATTCGTCCCAGAGCTGATGTTGCTTACTGCCTCCACGCTCTTTCCCGGCGGTTGGCCAAGACCCATAACTGGACGGTACGATGAACTATGCGTTCTCGTTTTCTGTGTGTTTCACTTCAACTCTCTGTTCAGCAGTGTAGAATGCGTCTTGATGGAAGGAGTCGCGACAATTTTGCTTAGAAACTTTTATTAGTATGGGGCTTTAGTTGTGGAAGTGAACTTAGTTTTTTGGTCGAATTTCCTGGTTTAGGAGAATAGCCTTACTCTTTTGCTTGATGAACTCGATTGGAATTACTTTTGCTTGAGCAGAATTTGGGTTACTTTTATTTTCCCTACTAGTAGAGTGGTCGGTAATTTCGTATTCTGTGAACTCTGAGTGATAGTGAAACTGCTGAACACATGTCTATGACGAAGGCATAGTTTAGTCGTCCATGGATGATAATGGAACTGCGACTCTTTTCCTTTTCGAGTTGGATTGGCGATGGTTTTGTTGAAAGTGTTTTTGGGGAGGGAATGTCGATGTGTGGTTGGGAGCTTAATTTTGTTTGAAATGCATTCCACAACTTTCTTCACAACTGAGACAAGATTGCTAAGATGGGTGAATTATACTCTTGTTTTGATAGGTGGCACTGAAGACTCTGATTGTCATACATAGACTTCTAAGGGAAGGCGACCCTACTCTTAAAGAAGAACTACTGAACTACTCCCAAAGAGGGCGTATTCTCCAGCTTTCAAACTTCAAGGACGATTCCAGTCCTATTGGTAGTTACTGGTCCACTACATACAAGTTGAAGGAAAAATGCTTTTGGTTTAGTTCTTTCATAATTGTTTGTTCTCTTTTTTTCCAGCGTGGGACTGTTCTGCTTGGGTGCGCACATATGCATTGTTTTTGGAGGAGCGTCTTGAATGCTTTAAAGTCTTGAAGTATGACATTGAATCTGAGCGTCTCCCGAAACCTGCTCAGGTCCAGGATAAGGTATCTCGTAGATCTAACATTTACAGAGAAGTATAGATCTATAGTAAAGACTCCAATTTGGATCAGGCAATCATCAAAGTAATTTTTTCCATAGTTCTCCAAATGATCTTTATGGTGGCTTTGGAAGGGAAGATGTTTAACCAACTCTTCTAAATTGTTCTGTACTGTCATATCATTTAGTTTTGGTTTTCCTCACATGAACCGGGATTGGATGTTCTAGCTGTGATTATTGTTTGCTTGTGCTTAAGTGTATGTTTTGTTACTTTGGGTTTGTTATTGGATCATGACCTTAACTGTACTGTTTAGGTAGTTCCTTATATGTCCGTCGTACTGATATAACAGATCATAGAAATTTTGATTCACTATAATGGGGTCAAGATGAGAGTCAGACAGAATTGCATGAAAGAAAAACCAAGGGTTATTAAACGGGATAGTATCCTGACATTAGCTCAACCCATGAGAGGTGATTTTGCAGAAATGGCACCCCCTTAATTTCACTTGCGGTGATATGATAAATTGTAATGGATGGATGCAGATTTGCATGATGGTAATGATCATGCAAGTGAGATTTTTTTGTGAATGCTGGGAATCTTTTTGCTGTATATTCTCGGTTTATCGCTTTTGAATTTCATGATGGTGAAAATCAGGTCAATGTGACATTAGTGACAGTGATAGTCAAATGGTCTGTGTTGCACAGTGAAACACAATCTATGTGTTGCGTAGCTTGAACTGGAGGTAGGGTCAGAATGTGAATAGCAGCACATGCTATAAGCAGCCTCTGTTGTGGACCTAGCCCCACTTGTTAAATAAGCAGCAGGCTCCTTTTGCGGAGTTTTATTTCTCCTATTATTGGGATAGAATTGAGAAAAAGAACTAGAAGGTGGATCAAGTTTAGGTTGAAAGAGTGGAGAAGTATACAGAAGGGTAAAAAATTGTAGGAGAAAGAAAATAGGACGAGCAAGAGAGCAGAGAACATACAAATGATGCCTTAATGAGTACAAGTTATTACGATGCTATGTTCATAGCTAAACACACTTGAATATGAAACTTCTGTAGTTGAATACTTGCACCAAATAATGGAAAAGGTTCTAAAAAATGATCTCTCTCAGCACTTGGTTGCAGATTGGTTGGTGCTTTCAGTTAACGCATGCACAAACTTGTTCTTTCACTTGCTTTCTTATGAAAAAGAAGAAATGTCATCTGTATGCGTCTTTGTAATCAGGGCTACAGCAGAACCAGGGACTTGGATAGTGAAGAGCTACTAGAGCAACTTCCTGCACTACAACAGTTGCTGTACCGTCTTGTTGGTTGTCGGGTACACTTTGTGAAACCCTTGTGACTCATTTCTTTGTTGGGCATGTTTCAGAGAATGTGCCTTGTGAAAACTGGTAAGTACATTAACCATGTCGTTTGTATTTACAGCCTGAAGGTGCAGCTGTTGGCAATTACGTTATTCAGTATGCTCTTGCTCTAGTATGCCTGATCTCTCTCTATCTCTTGTCTCCCTTTCTATCTGTATGTGGGGGTTTATGTGTTTGTCTCTGTCCTTTTCTGCATGTCTGAAATAGTTGGCACTTACAATAACTGTATTACTGGACTAGTATTTTCTGTTTTTGGAAATCAACTTCACTGCAGATGTCCTCTTTCCACTGAACTTCATGAGCTGTTGTTAATTTGATTGAACTTGATGAGGTACATTGAAGGAAATAGAATGAAAGTATGTTAGCTGGAAGTAAACTATTATTTCTCTTCTCTTCGTCTGCTTACAGAAGATGGACTGCTTGTGAATGTGATGAGCAATTTTCTGGAAAGTCATCAATAATTGGTTATTGACTTCATGATGTGTGTATTATGAGTTATGACAGACGATTGTGATTATAATTTTGGCACTTGCCTTGTCATTGAATAAAGGTTCTCTATGTTATTGTCAGTACGCAAGTACCTAAAATTGCTCGAAACTGTATTGTTTTATGGTCAGAATGGACTCGATAGTTTATGATCACTGCAAACGCTTAACCAGGTATTACTATAATGAATCATTTGGTAGATGTGTTCAACACAAATCCCATTTTATGATGAAGTGTTTAATGAACGAATAAATACATAAAAAACTTGCCTGCTCATTCTTGCCTTGTTTTGAGGGCTTCTAGTTGGACTGAGCAGAAGTCTTAGTTGGTCCTGTGTGGAAGTTTACATATACATGGACAAGATTTTTGTTTTGTCTGTGCTTGTATTTACTTCGCGATTGTATTATACTTCTTTGGAGGAGAGAGCCCATGAGCAGCTCTGCTCAAAAGGGAATATGTGGTTGTAGGCTTGTTTGTCAGGTCGTCATTCTATAACAGAATGTTTCTTTTTCCGGTGGCCTTCCTTTTATCCAATATGATTTTGGTTCTTGATGCCCTAGCCCATATTCATTTCTCAAATTTTGATCTAGGAGCGCCTTTTCAAGTTGATGACCTCCATCCCAAAGTGACTTTGTCGAAGTCGAATACATGGGAGTTTGTCCTGCTAACGCTGTTTGCATTGTTGAACATTCAGGTGTTGAAAGAGAGCTTTAAAATATATTGTGCTATCAATGACGGAATTATCAATCTTGTGGATAAGGTAAATATTATTGGATGGGCTCATCCTGATGCATCTCAATATTTATGCTATTTAAGAAACCAATGTTCATGGTCCTTTCCTTTTGTTATGTTTCTCCTTGCAGTTTTTTGAAATGCCAAGGCATGAAGCCATCAAAGCACTTGATGTCTATAAAAGAGCTGGCCAGCAGGTAGTGTAGTGAAGTGATTGGCATGTTAGAGCTATATGTAGTTAATGATTGGAGGAATGCAGTGTTTAAGCTCTTTTGTAACTTTCCAGGCTGCTACCCTCTCTGATTTCTATGAAGTGTGCAAAGGACTGGAACTTGCTAGGAACTTTCAGTTCCCTGTTTTAAGAGAGGTATCTTATATTGTGGTTTTGATGTTCCTATTGTTTTGTTAGCTTACCAAAATATTATTATATAAAGATATATTTTCTTTCTGTAGCCTCCACAATCTTTTCTTACAACCATGGAAGAGTACATACGAGAGGCGCCTCGTGTTGTGTCTGTTCCAAATGAACCATTGGTAAGTATAACTATGCCTGTCAGATGCTAATCTCCGAGCCAGGGGTAAATATATCTAGGCTTGGATATTAGCAAATAGTTTCAAGAATGCAAAATTGAAGCAAGGTTTTTCGTGGATTACCTGGAACCACAAATTTTATTTCCTCAAAATACAATTTTGTGATAGTGTAGATGTAGTTTCTACCATTATCGAGATGATTTATTTTCCTCTGGTCGTCTTTTGATTCTGGAAATGAACCACTGCTCTTTGGTCTAACTCATACAAATTTGAAACAGCTCCAGTTGACATACCGACCAGATGAAGGTCCTTTCGAGGATGCAAAATCAAGTGACAAACCCGAGCAACTTCCTGCCGATGTTGTTGATATTTCACATGTCCAAGTTTCTTCTAAAGCTCCTTCTACTCCTGTTGCCCCTCCAAAGAGCGGCATGGATACTGGAGATCTACTGGTATTCTCTCTTTTTTGTGGTCCACTAATTTCTGTTCCTTGATAGTTTTGATTAACTACTGACACCTTCTGGCCCTCTTTTTCTGCTTCTTTATTACCTGTTTCAGGGTCTAAGTAATGCATCCCCGGATACATCTGCAATAGAGGAAAGTAACGCATTGGCTTTAGCCATTGTCTCATCTGAAACAGGTACCTCAAATTTCCTTCTTGTTTTTCTCAACTCTTTTATGCACCTGAGATGTGGTGGTTGTATTTCAACTTGGAAACTCCAACTCATTTACAGATGCTACGGCGTCAACATTGAATTCTGTTGCTGGTCATGTAAAGGAATTTGACCCCACTGGATGGGAACTTGCCCTTGTCACGGCCCCAAGCAATGACATCTCATCAACTAATGAGAGGCAGTTGGTATTATATCTTTTCTCTCTCTCCTGTTATAGAACAACTATCCAGCACTTACTGGCCACAAAAATGATGGATATTTTCAGGGTGGTGGACTAGACACACTGACCCTCAACAGCCTATACGATGATGGTGTTTATAGAGCAGCCCAGAAGCCGGTTTATGGAGTACCAGCACCAAACCCTTTTGAGGTGCATGACCCGTTTGCTCTGTCAACTAGCATAGCTCCACCACAACCAGCTGTACAAATGGGTCAGCAACAACAGCCAGTCATCAACCCCTTTGGTCCATACCAAACCTCCCCTTTTATGCAGCAGCAGGCATTGCAACCTCATCCCCAGAATCCTTTTGGCGATGCAGGCTTTGGCAGCACCGGATATACGGTTGTGCCCCTTGATCATCATCCTCATTCTCAGTCTCATCAGGGTAACAATCCATTTGGAAGTACAGGCTTTTTGTAAAGTGCAGGGGTTTCCGAACATCGCAGGAGATGGGAAGGAAGGATGTAATGTAGTTTGGTCGTGGCATGGCAGCTGCTTGTCTGGTCTTTTGTATCGACTATAGGAGGAAGCATGGAAATGAGAGGAAAGAAGCATTTAGGGTTGGGATTTCCAACTCGAGAGAGAGAGAGAGAGAGAGAGAGAGAGAGATTGCCGATGTTGGTTTGACACAGATTTGTGTATGGAATTTCTTTTGGTGGGTTGCCCCCGCTGGTTTTTTCTTCCTCTATACAAGGTTTGAGTTTGTATTTTTGATGTTCAGTTATATATAATTTTATTATTATTATTTTTTTTTTTTGCATATGTGCACTTTTTTGTGTTGATGAATGTTATATGAGCATTTAGAGATGGCAAGTAGGGTTGGGGCGGGTTTTGTCAAACGCAAACCCATATTCATGGGTTTATCCGTCGAAAAAATCCGGGGTAAAATCCGGTGGGTTTGAAAAACTCAAACCCAACCCAACCCGCTGGGTATCCGCGGGTCCATGGGTACCCGTAGGTTTTTGTGGTAAAAAATTTACAATAACAAGTTTCTTTCAAAATAAAAGTTTAACATCAATTTTCTTATACAAATTATTCATACAAAAAACACCAATCTAGAGCATACAAGCAAACCGCAAATGATCAATACAAATTGTTCAAAATTAAAGATAAAGATCTATAAACAATAAGATTAATTGAAAGCTTCTTCCTCGTCAACTAAGTTTTTCACTCTCCACTTCATAATATCAACTTCATTTTAAACAATTAGAAAGAACAAATTATATATGTCTCCACAAACATAAATGTCTCCACAAACATAAAGAATATTAGTTGTTTAAGGAAGATATATTATTTAGAATAATAAATATACCAGGAAAGTAATTATATGTGTGTGGGCGGGTACCCATGGGGCTGGTTTACCTAAATCCAAACCCAAACCCAACCCGACCCGATGAATAGTGTAGCGGGTTTAAACCCAAACCCGGCCCAAAACCCGTCAACACGGGTTTTACCCACGTTGACCAGATTGGGTCGGGTGGGTACTCGTGGGTTCGGGTTTTGTTCTCATCCCTATGAGCATTGCCTATATATAGAACTAGCAATTGAAGGCCTTGCTTTGCAGCGGCCCACATCCTATAAAAACGATATGGCCTATTACTTTAAACTGTAATGCTGGAAATAACAAAATAAGACAAAAATTAAATAGATAAAACACTTTCAATAAATATCTAGAAAGCAAACAATAATTATACAATACATAAATCCATTTCGGGCTTAAAAAGAAAAGCCAAGTTATTGACCAATCACCTGAACCAACAATATAAATTCGTTCGGGCTTACAAGTAAAGCCAAGTTGTTGACCAATCAACTGAACCAACGATAAAAAGCTTTATTTGCCACGATATGGAGTGCTTTAACACACAAATAATAATTTTATCCCCTTTGGTATCTCTTAAGTCTCATGCCAATTGACAGGTAATAACATGAAAATTTGGAAGAAGAAGACGATAAGATAAATAGATTGAAGAATTTTGCATGTCGATTGTACATCTAAATTTGTCATTGTTGTGTTAAAGAAAAAATATTGTCATTATTGTCTGTTAAATCTTTCCTTCCTAATTAGAGTTTTGATTTTGATTAGTGATTATGGTTTTCTCTTATTATGGAAGCCAACAAAAATAGAAAGTAAAGAATGATGGATATCATAGAGAATTGCTACACACCCATACCCATTAATTATGATTCTCAAATCTAAATATGGTATAATGACATCAGAAGTGCAGTGAAATAATTCATAATGAAATAATTCGTAGTGAAATCATGCACCCAATAAAATAGGCCCAATCAACATGCTTAATATTAGCACCTCCATTAGTGAACAGTAATCCTTATATAGCTTTAGATAAATTAATAATAAAATCTGTAATCTATATTCCAGCCAGCCAGAGGATTGGTGAAGCTTATTCTTTTTCCTAGTGAGAAACGCGGTTGCAGTTTCCTAATTCGAAGCTAGGTGGTTCGTTTTAGATAGATTTAGGAACTTGGTACCCATTATTTTATATTGTTCTGTGTACTCATTTGATGAGATTGAAATATGGGTTATAGGTATAATATGCCCCTCTACTATTACGTTTTATCAAACATGCCCCTTTACTATTTTTTACATCAAATATGTCCCTTACTTTGAAAAAATTATCAAACATGCCCTTCTGTTAAAAATTCCATTGAAAAAGTCATCAAGCATGGTTGAATTGAGATTTAGACACCCGACATCGACAAATGGGAGGGAAAATGTCAGTTTTGTCTCCTGTTTTATTTCTCTGGGTCTTTTCAAAGTGAAATTATTTGAATGATTTGATTATACAAAAGAACCAAAAAGATTCTAAAGTGAATTTATTAGGGGTATTTTAGTCATTTGTGTCGCCCAAACTAAAGTTCGGCGTTGGTTAACGGTTTTTGGATTAAAATTTTAACAAAAGGGCATGTTTGATCATTTTTACAAAGTACAGGGGCATGTTTGATGTAAAAAATAGTAAAGTGGCATGTTTGATAAAGCGTCATAGTAGAGAGGCATATTATACCTATAACCCTTGAAATATTTGTTTGTATTGTACATTTTTTTTTGTGGTATTGTGCCTTTCTTTTTAACCGTTCTTTCAATAATACCAGACATTGAGACACCTGAGAAAATAAATATAATTTAGCGCGATTTTCTCGTAGTAACTACTTATAACGCCTAAAATACAAATTCTCTCTATAGTATAGAAAATAAAGATTTGAGTTTATTCTCTCTAAAATACAAATTCTTTCCTTTCTCTCTACACAACACGATGAAAGCATCATACCAACCATGAAGACCATAATTGAGAATATTCAACCTATCCAGGAAAACAAGAATGATTAACCTATCAAGGAGACTCAAGAAGAAGATCATCTTGAGGTTAAAAAACCTGACGAGGAAGAAGATGATCTGTCTACTCAATATCCGGAAGGAGAGGATGAGATACAACCCCTAGGAGTAGCAATGGAGGAAGAAGGCAGTAGTATTTAAAAACTTCACAAATCCAAAATTTCTTGGATTAATGGGAAGATGTTGAAGTTTTTACACCTCTTGAAGGCTTTGAACACTTCCTACGCCTTCTTCAATACGAATCCAAGAGTAATCCACCTACCAAGAGATCCACCATTGAAAACATCCAGGAGGAAGAGTTCGAGAATGACGACCTCCTGCACCTCATATTCAAAGGTAAACAAAACGTTCGGAAACGAGCATTGAACAAGAGATTGTGGAGGAGAATTCTAACAAGGATGATCAACCTCAATTGGAGCATGACGGTGAAGAGTCACTAAATGAGCAACCCTCTCAACCTATCCATTCAAAGAAGGAGTTGCAAGACGAGACACCTATCAGAATGTTGATGATCAGACTAACATGGAATCCAACAGAGGAAAGGAGAAAGATCCCCCCACCTTCCAAGAGATCGCGGAGGAGTTTATCAAAGAAGAAATATCATCTAGATCAATGGAGGAAACTTCAAGACACACTCATCTTGAGTCCAACTCGAGTTGGGAGGAACAAATTGATGAAGACTACAACTTTGATCTTGGAGAAGAAGGAACTCCTCATCATCCTCTGCACCAATGGAAGAAGTGCAAGGAGTAGCAATTCCATCTACTCTAAGAAATGATGCTCTACGTATATAAGACCCAACCCTTGAAGTGGATGGACCCCTTCAAGATCACTGGCAACCCGTTACCCATGAGCCACAAGCGAGAGAACGACATAAAGTGTCGAAGGACTTTTTAGGTTTATTATTCGAATGATAATCGGAAGTAACGCCGAACTGACATACATACATATATATATATATATACACATACATACATATATATATACATATATATATATACACACATACATACACACACACATATATATATATATATATATATATATATATATATATATATGGCTTCTATCGTACCTTGGGTAAAATCTAGGGTACGACATACCATGAGTAAAAAAATGCTATCTAGACCTCGAATTAACCGGATTGTTGGACATAATACTATACTCTAACCCTTGATGATTGAAACCTAGGTCTTAGATTTCTAAATCAAAGAGCCTAATCCCTAAGATTGTGCCTGTAATTTGTTTCATATATTTCGACAAATCATAGCCGTTGATTTTTGTTTCTAATTAAATTGATCTTAGTGTATGAGATTTATAAAACTAAGACCTAGATTTTAATCCTTAAGGGTTTGGGAATAATATCAGATGCCAAACTATGCTCAATTCGAGGTCTAGATATCATTTTTTTACTCATGGTATGTTGTACCCTTGATTTTACCCAAGGTACGATAGAATCACCCATATATATGGCTTCTATCGTACCTTGGGTAAAACCTATATATATATATATATATATATATATATAAATTATATATATATACACATACATACATATATATATATACACATACATACATATATATATATATATACACATACATATATATATATATATATATATATATATAGGTTAGAAAAACCTAATACGTAACCCTAGCACTACCCGAACCCTACTAATTAACCTAGCGCACTCGGAACCTAACATAGACTCCTACTAATCTAACTCTGCCATAACATACTAATTGGTCCATGCAACCTATTAGCTACATAACTCCAAGCTAAATCTCCTAACTCAAACCCATAAGTATAAGTAATTAAACAAATAAACACACTAAGCGTACTAACCAAAAAGCCCCAACATTTATTTGCCATCTATCATTCCCCCTCAAAGAACCTTGTTCCCAAGGTTCGGTCAATGTCGAGGCGCGAAGGTCAACACCGATAGCAACGGTAGCTCTTGCAACAAGGCTTGCTTCGCTTCTGGAACTTCCAGTTCGTAGCTCCGGATGGCATCTCGCGCGGCTTCCTTCTTGTTCTCTTCCCTACCTTTGGAAGGACAAGTATTGGTTGCCGCCTAACAGCGCCATCTGCTGGAAAATCAGAATATCTATGACCTAGCTTAGTCCTTTGTTCCTTCAAATCAGGCCATGCCCAAGCACGACTATCTCAAGCTCCCATAGACCATTCGCCCATCCCATAAACTTTGTTCCCAATTCCTTGTCGCCGCCGCATTCTATACCTCTAATCCATAATCCACTTTCGGGCACAATTATTCGTCCAATACAGCCCATAATTCCACCAACAGTACACAAATCCCACCCAGACACAATTCCTTCCCTCTTTTTCTCCTTATTCCCCTCTTTCCTTCTAAATTTCCAATGATAATTAGGAACCAAGAACCCATCACCGTGAGCACACGAGGACAATACCAATTATTGCTTCCCTTTCGGTGGCTCGTTGATCGATCGCAAAGCTTTCTCGCCGCAAACTGCCGATCCCGCTATCCT